TAAAATGGAAATCCAGCGGGACTTCCAAAAAATTGTCCCCAAGCATGTTTCTTTTTTGAAAGGCACCAGCTCAGATGGCGCTCAGATCCAAATGTGAAACCACATTTTGGGCCTTGGAAATAGCGTTTTCTAGTGAGTAGGGCACTCGTGGATAATCTTTTGGAAGTAGTGGTCAGTGTCCGGCTGGGTTTTCATTTTATAGGAGGGGGAGGGGGGAGTGTCAGTGGGCAATGACAGTGCAAATTAAAGTGTGCAACAGAAAAAGTAATCATTACTGTTAACGAATCAGTTTTTAGCAGGGCTGCTCCTATAAAATGGAAATCCAACACCACTTCCAAAAAATTGTCCCCATGTTTCTTTTTTGAAAGGCACCAGCTCAGATCCAAACGTGAACCACATTTTGGGCCTTGGAAATAATGTTTTCTATTCAGTAGGTTTTTTTTCTTGACCACTAGGACCCAGTGTTTTATTCTATAGTGTGTATATTATGTGTTTATGTATTTCAGTATTTCTATGGCGGTTTGTCAGTGTCAGGCTTGGTTTTCATTTTATAAGAGTGGCAGGGGGCTTGTCAGTAGGCAAAATAATAGTGCGTATACATGCGTATAACTTTTCTTTAAATATATATATATATAGATTGATAGATAGATAGATAGATAGATACATAGATTTATATATATTGTAATATATACACATCATTATATGAATGTTTCTGAGGCTGGCCATGCTGAGGCACGGCTCCTCTTGGATCAGTTCCTATAAAATGGTAATCCAACCCCCCCTCTGTAAAATAGTCACCAAGTATATTCTTTTGTGGAATGGTGCCAGCCCAGATCCAAAAAGTGAAACCAAACTTAAGGCATTGCAAACCCAGTTTTCTATTCTATAAGGTGTCTTTTTCCTAATCACTGGGACCAAATTTTTCATTCTATAGTGGATTATTTGTTCCAAGCGGTGGCCAGTATAAGGCTGGGTTTTCATTTTATAGGAGTGGCAGGGGGTTGTTGGCTTTCTTGGGTTTCTATTCTATAGGGAAAATCACCCCCCCTTAGTCCTGGGTTTTCGTTTTAGTCCCTATAGAATGGAACCCCAGGTTTGGTCCGAATTCCAACAGGGATATGTTTAACCATTCGCTCTTTGCCATGAGTCCGTGTTCCTAAAGCAACTAGGCCAACGAAAGGTGATTAGTCCCTTCATTGGAAAATTAAGTTCCGTATTCATGTGCCTAACATTTATGCATACTACATTCATTGTTTTTCAGGTTCCACTCTCTTTGAGCTAGAGCTCCCAGAAGGCTCAGAAGCGGAAGGATTCTCAACAGGCCCTTCACCCTCAGGTTCAATCTCCGACACCAAGATAGGCTCGGGACCACCTGAAGCTTCCTCATTTTCGGATGTTTCATCCAGTACCCACCTGCCGTCAAGGGGCAAGAGGGTTCTGGCCAAATTCTTCGCCCACTTCACCACATCCGGGTGGTCTTCCAAAAGCTGGTTTTAACAGCTGTCATCGAGGCCAGTGTTCTTCTCCCCGTGTCTCTTGTCGGTGAAGTCTCAGGATTCAATGGCCGGCAAATCAGTACTGACCATGGTCGTGCTAAGGCATCTTGTGTCATGCATGTCATGCATGCCACTTATGCTCATGCCACCTGATGTCATGTCATGTCATCCTAACAACTCATGGCAAGTCATGTCATTGTGTCAAACCGTGCCATGCCATGCCATGTCATCATGTCAAACCGTGCCATGTCATCATGTCAAACCATGTCATGTCATCATGATGTATGGCCATGCAATGCCAACACATGAATGCCAACACAACTTCATGCAATGTCATTTCAGGATACGATGAGGGAAGAGAGTGTCCGCATACACTTCCAGGATGACAAACTCTGCGTGGTCCGAAGCCTTTGGATGAGGTACAAGTGCTCTGCGGAAGCCTCACGAGCTCTAATGAAAATGACATGACCGTGTGTATTGGCCCCAAAGTCATGCACATGATTGCGGTGCCCAACCTAGATATCAGATCATCACACCGCATATCCTAGCACATGCAAAAACAAGCAACCATGGCACAACGCCACCCAAAAAGAAGTCATTCGCCCCCACCCCGTTTGGAAGTTGAGCACCAAGGCACCGTCAGTTGAGTCCCCCCTCAGAGACCATAGGCACTGTCACATCCCGTCAATACTTGCCGAACAACAGGCCATGCTACAGGTCATGTGACAGCTCATGTGACAGGTCATGTATAGGTCATGTGGCATGGTCATGTCAGGTCATGAGTCCATGGCAATTGCAAGTCAAGCTACTGTCCGTGAAATCCACGGTACTCAAACTTGCGACCACATGCTATGAGCTGGATAGTCCCATAGGTAGTCCCAGTGGAACCAGCCGCCATGGAAGATGTGAGAGAACTTTGCTCTTAGTCGACGTGCACGGCCAACAGTCAAAAAAAATGAACAGTGACAAATCAGTGACAAATTGGTGCGGGGATATATTGACTGAGAACTATTAGAATCAACACATCAACACAAGATGCCATGCAAGCCTGTTGGGCCTGTTGAGCGGAATGGCGTGTCGGGGTCGCAGCAGGATTACAGTACAACATGATTGCGGTGCCCACACGGCTTCTTCGACCAAGGTAAACAGGTCAGGAGCACTAATCCGGCCAAAGTTCAGCTGAAGTGTTTGGCTGCACGGCCCAGCTTTTGAACCACTGGACATGGCATGGCAACATAGATGCATGGTGACATGGCAATCCCCGACATGTATTCCATGCATGCCATGACATGGCAATCCCCGACATGTATTCCATGCGTGCCATGCCATGCCCTAACATGACAAGCCCCTGACATGTATTCCATGTCATGCCATGACATGACAAGCCCCCGACATGTTTTCCATACATGCCATGCCATGCCCTAACATGACAAGCCCCCGACATGTATTTCATGCATGCCATGTCATGCCATGACATGACAAGCCCCCGACATGTATTCCATGCGTGCCATGCCATGTAACATAACTGGACATGACAAACCATGTAGCCCATGAATGCCATACCATGAGAGACCCTCCAAAACCCCCCACCTCATGACATACCTTTCCAAACCACCCCCCCACCCAGCATCAAAAAAGTTTTGGCATCATTTTTTGCAGATTTCTTCATGTAACTGAATTACGAAACGTTCTTGATCTATTGCCCTGAAAAACGTACACAA